CCCCACAAGCCCCCCACCACCCATCTGTCCGCCTCGCACATGTCTGAACGGTGGCACCTGCCACCTGGGTGCCCAAAATCACCTGGAGTGCCTGTGTCCGCTGGGCTTTGCCGGGGCATACTGCCAGGTGGAGGCAAGGGGGACGACGCTGTCCCCGGCCACGCAGGCCCCGCCGCCCAGCCGGCAGATCAGCATCACGCAGGTCAGCAGCACCTCCCTCAAAGTGGACTTGCAGAACTACATCCAGTCCAAGGCGCAGCTGAAGGGCATCCGCTTGAGCTACCGAAATCTCTCTGGGCCGGACAAGCGACCGGTGATGCTGCGTTTGCCAGCTTCACTCGCCGAGGACACAGGGCGGGCGCTGGAGCTTTTTTTTTCTGAAGCCCAACTGCACCTACCGCATCTGCATCGGGCCCCTGGGGGAGAAGGTCTCCAAGGAGGAGCACTGCGCCGAGGCACAGACCTTGCCCGCGAGCCACCAGCAGCGCTCACCTGTCACCCAGGGCAAGGACGGCAACCTCACCCTGATGATCGTCCCCGCGCTGGCCGCCGTGCTACTACTGGTGGTGCTGGTGACAGCCGGCACGTACTACCGCCGGCACCGCCGGGCGAAGGCGCATGCTGGTGCTGGGGTGGACACTGGCCCATTGGAGCTGGAAGGGGTGAAAGCCTGCCTGGAAAATGGAGATTTGAGCAGCCATGGCCACAAGGTGCCGGAGGCGGCGATGCTTTCTGGTGGCTCTGAGTGCGAGGTTCCACTGATGCAGTCGCACTACCCCAGCAACAACAACACCCCGGGGCTCAAACCCTCCTATTTCTGAGACAGGGTTGCTGGGTGAGGGGAGCACTGTATGGACAAGGGTTAAGCTCCAGCAGTGGCACCTGGCTGGTGCCACTCCCTCCATGGTGAGGAGTTCACTAAATTAAGGCAGAAAAACCTCAAACCCATAACGTGCAATTTCCCAGAGGCTGCCATGCTTCGAGAGGAGACGCTCATTTTACTGTTCACTGCCTTCATTTCTGTGACTCTACGTAGAATGTGGGTAGCGAAAGAGAGAGCTTGGGTTTTTAATCTGGGGTTCAGGAGGGCTTTTTTTAGCTACTGCTAAAAAGAAAGCTGCCAGTGACTCGGCTAAGGGATGTCCACGTGCTGGTAACAGGGGTCCTTTAGCAGAGCATGGCCCGTGACTCGCAACTCCCTGGAAGCTGATGTGAGCACTAATGCCCGGCCGAGGTGCTGGGACCCTCGGGACCCCCGGGCCGAAGGAAGCGCCGAGCAGGCGAACCGGGAATTGAAGCTTTAAGAACTCTGAGAGGATATTTATACATGGTTATTTCCCATTTCTTCTGGGAAACCTTTTTTTTTTCTAGTACAGGTTTGTGTACATCTCTTTTGTAAGGCAGACCAGAAGGGTGTCTTTTTGTAAAAAAAAAAAAAAAAAAAAAAAAAGAAAAAAGAATTAAAATAACAACACTGAAAACCTCTGCTCAGCCTTGAGCACTTTTGCAGGCGCTGCCCACGGTGGGCAGGGGTGCGGGCAGCGCAGCGTATCCCCTGCGGAGGACCGGGAAGGTCAGCTGCGTCCTCCCGTTGTTGTTGGCAAGCGCTGGGATGAGTCAGGGCGACGGAGGGGGGAGTTTTCCCGACTGGGTGGTGATGCTGGGGCGGCTTCACCCCCACAGTGCTGCCCTGCACTGTGGGTGCTGAGGAGGGGTTCCCAAAACAGCGGCCATGGGTTTCAAATCAGCCCCTGCCCTGTGCATCATCCAGGCTTACTTCATCCCTCCCCGCCTGCCAGATGGCTCTGGGGTCGGCTGCAGGACAAACAGCCCAGCCCAGCCTTTGTAACCTCCTGATGTCACCCTTGGCAGCACTGGCACCCCCAAAGCACCCGTGACACGTGGCCCCCAAAGTGGGGGGCTG